AAGAATATAGCTGGCTTTAGCTTTAGTCATAAGGATAATATTATATAAATCTTTTGCAGAAATTTTAAAGGGATAATTTGTAAGTTTAATGTGATATGTGTTTCTATATTTAACTTCTTAAGAAGTCATATTATATAAACTGAATCATTTTGAATGAAGTGATTTTATACTTGATAAAATAATTCAATATATTTGGGATTCTTATAAGTGATATAGACATATTATCACATATCTCTTGCAATTATTCTAAAATCAATAATAGATAGTACTATACTTGCATATGAGCTGATTTGAATCTGATCACATAGTAAATTTTGGTGATAAGATCAGGTGTAATGTGATATTATTATGCATATCATAGTAAAAATTTGTGACACTTTTGTGACTTTACCATGAAAAACCAATCTTCGTTAAATCAAAATAACTGTAATCGCGAGTTGCAAATTGGTTTTGGATTAGTTTTTACTGTATTGCAAAGAATTAGAAAAAAAACTTTTAAAAAGTTTTTCACTATAAAGTTAATTTTACTTGTAATAATAAAGTATTTTTTCACATTAAAATGGCATATATACTGGGGTTAAGTCAAGAAAATAACCAAATTAACCAAAGTGAAATGCTATTTTTTATAAATGGTACTTTGTTTTTTTAATTAAACTTGTGATTATATAGTTAATATATTACTAAATACTTTCTAATAAATATTATTTAGATGGCTATTCTACGAGAAATTTTTCTCATCAATATCCTACAAGTCCTTTTATAATTTCACAATACATAACAGGAAACTGACCCTTTTATTTTTGGTATAAAGTAATGTCTTTAGAATATTATCCAATACCAGTTAAACTTACACAAAAAAATTCTAAAAATTATATTCAATATCAAATACCCGATGACTATAGTATTAAAACTGAAGTTTCTAAAATGAAGATCCGTTGTAAAACAAAGTATCAACCAAATGGAAAAGTAAGGTTTACAATTGTGTAAAAAGAAAATAGATTAGAGTGAAGTAAAGATGCCAACTGAAACTCCTTTAAAATAATTTTGTCATATCCCTTACTATGTTTTTAATATAGTTTTGACTAATTTCAGGTTTTAGGGTTTCGTTGTACCCTTTACTATATTTTAATATAATTTCAGCTGTTTATTAATTGCCTTTTTTGAGTTTCATCCCTCATTTTTAGAGTGGAGTGTATATAGTGATCGCTCTGCAACTAGTGTGGTTAATACGTTCTTAAAGGTAGTATTATTATTATTTATCTTTTTTTTTTAAAAAAATTGAATTTATAATTAATGATCCATTTAAGAACTGGAGAATTTTATTAATAAAATTTGGGAAGAAATTGGAATCTGAAATTCATAGTAAAAGACAAATTTGTATTTTTTTATCTCATATGAAATATTTTTTTATTATTTTTAAAAGTTGCCAATCAGTATAATTATATATATCTTGTTTAATACTTCAATTTATGTTTATAAAATATATATTTATCTTGCAGGAAAGATTGATTCCAAGAATGTGATATATCTATAGTAAAATTCTCTGATTTTTAATGATACTTATATGATCAATCTCTGCTTATTATTTGAATTAAAATTAATAATTATTTTTATTGATTTTAATTATACAGAAAAATAATTACCCAAATTCTAATTTATCAGGTGTATACATTTTTGGGTTTGATATTGGATGATTGCATGAATGTCACTTAAAAACAATGGGTGTTTTTATTACATTAGTTAACAAAAAAAAAAGCACTTTAACAATGATTCAAACAATTTCAGGGCAAAATAAGAGATTTGCATCTTTAGGCAGAGAATCTGAAAAGGCAATTAGATCTTTGATTAAAAAGCATCAATTGGCTGAGAAGACTAATCAACTAATTATTCATATTCGTAAAATTGAATTGGATTTTAATGGCAAAAGTATTATTTTAACTTACAAGCCACCTGATAATAAAAATGAACTTACCAAAATAGATGTTATTGTTAAGGCTTGTGATGAATCATTATTAGCACATGATGGATATCGATGACTTGCTACAATTGAAGCATTTTTTATACGTGAATATTTGATAGCTAATCATAGAATTGAAATTACAAATCTTATTAATAAAAATCTTAGAATTGGAACATTTAATATTGACAAAAGTGATGATAATTTATCAAATTATTTAGAAGCTAATGATAGTATAATAGTTGATGAGGCAGAAATTGGAAATGTTGCATATAGGTCAATTTACACGATTTTACAAACTTTGATACCATTATGGAAAGAATCATCTCCTGCAATCATCAATTCTGGTGATACACTTAAACTTAAGCTTGGTGGAGATGGTCACAATGTTGATTGTAAGTAAATCCATGTGATGATGACGATTTGTCTTTTAAATAAAGGAGAAGTTGTTTTAAAACCAGAACATCAATACTGGTAATAAATTTATTATAATTAAATAATCAAAAAGTTAATTAAATTAATAAATTTTTTTTAGTATATGTCTTTATGTTAGATGAGAAAAATATGATAATCTTGCTAAAATAAGAAAGTTATTTTAACATCAGCTTTTTGATCTTTAAAATAACGGAATATATGACAAATACAGAAATCATTGGCCAATAGAATTGTTTTTTTCTAGTGACTGAAAGTTTATATATATAATAATAGGATTGAATGCCTCTAATTCAAAGTATTTTTGTTTATATTGTAACTGTCAATCTGAATTACGTTGGGATATGGATCAAAATTTTGAAAATTCAGGAAATCATGCCTGTATGTTTAAGGATTTTTTTTTATATAATTATTTTATTATTAATTAAAGCTATGAATATTTTATTGATAATTAGGTAAAAATAGAAAACCAGCATTATTTCCTGCAATAAGTCAAGAAAATTATATTTCTGATGAATTACATCTATTTTTACACATTGTTGATGTTTTGATGGAATGCTTTTTTAATGATATAATTAAAAAAAAAAGAGTTTGAAAAAAAAATTAAATTGGAGAATGAATAAGCAATGCAAAATATTAAAGTTTATTTTGAGTTTTTCAAGTTAAAATCTACTAGTGGAAAATGGGATTGGACTTCTTTAATAGGTCCTGATAAAAAAAAAAGTACTGAAACACTTTCCAATTTCTCAGTTTATTTCTGGCATTCGTAGACAAGAAATTGAAAAATTATGAAAGGAATTTCTCCAGCTTTATAAAATTTTAAGAAATCTTTTTTTTCGAATCAAGAAATTAATACGTTTGAAATTGATGCCAAATAATAGATCTGTACCTTTTATTGTGCAACTGAAGGATATCCCAATTCAATATCACATAAACTTGGATTATATCACAAACAAGATGTAACCCTTATATGCATGTTTTTGCACAATACATGTATCAATTTATGTGTTAATTAAAGATGAAAAACTTATCATTATGATATTTTTCTACTTCTAGTATTGAAAAAAAAATCATGATCAGGTAATTTGTAAATTTATTTAAAAAGATATTTTATTACATATATTAATAAACTTTTTAATTAGGTTCGGTTATTTTTTGGTGGTATTACTATGGGTGGTGAAATTGAAAAAAGATTGGTAGTATATAATATTATATCTTTTGAAAATCGTCAACTCTATTATTTAGTTAACAAAACTCCTAAAGAAATTAATGTTAGAAATATTGATTCTAACGAAAAAGAAAATTAAAATATCATACATAGTGTTTAGATCTAAGAATAATTGTTGAAGAAAAGAGCATGATAAAATAAATCTATATTGCGATTAATTATTTTTGGTAGTAGGCGTTATAATATGACTTTGGATTCTTGTAATTTTTTTTCGTTATTTATAATAAAAAGTAAATAAGTACTTTAATTTATATAAATTTTGCATATAAAATTTAAAATCTTACTTGTTTACAAATTCTTCTGAATCTGTTATAAAAGTGCAAGTGACAACATCAGATTGAAATATCCAGTTATTTTCAACTAGTTTTATTTGTGCCCAACTAAAAGTAACTTCATAACTTTCCTCATAATTCACAAATAGTATATATTCGATTGTTTTTGTTTTAGGATCCTGTCAACAACTCCAATGTTCATAATTTAAAATTTGTTTTAACCTTTATTCTCCCGTCTCACCTTTAAATGTGCAATGATATTTTCGTAATACTGTATTATATCTAAACGAAGATTCACTTTGAAATAAGTAAATAAAGACATTTTTTGGAAAAACATTATTAAAAACCGTTTAGATCCCACAGAATATCTATTGAAACCAAGATACTTTTTAATAAGGATTATAAATACGTTCTAATAAGATATAAGTTATTCAAAAAAAGGCCAAAGTAGTAAATGGAGGTGTGGTATAATTTTGTTGTTTCAGTGTTTAGTTCTTTCATGAGTCAAAAGTAGTTTTCGTGAAATAAAAGTCTTTTGGCAAAAACAACACCTGAGCGTCATATCAAGTATAAAAAAAATCTAGAAAAAGTTTAATGCGTTAATTGCAAACACAATCTAATATTTATCATATTTTGATAGTGACAAATTTTTTATTGGTTGTCATAGTTATCCCAAATTATCATAAAATGTCACGTTAGTGATAAAATCGAATGGAGTCAAATCAGCCCATATGGGCAAAGATTTGCTTAATATTTGCAGGTTTCATTTGTAACAAAATGTTAATAAAATGAATAGAACTGCATATCAGCTTGTATTAGGTAAAGTCAAAGAATTTTTTGATCTTAAGATCAGGAATGGTCATGTGAAGAGCTGTAAAAGTTACGTCTGATATCACAATATAAATAATTATTGAATATGTCAGAATTACATGATGGATTGATACACCTTTAAAGTCATCATTTTGAGCAAAAATATTATTAATAGCTAGGCTGTTATTTTTTTCCTTGATATTACAGTCAAATCTTGATATAGCGAACTCTTTAATATAGTGAATTTTAACATTTAATTAATCAAATATATTAAATATACCTAACCCTAGAATTCGTTAAATCAATAGTTAACTGTATTAGCAATTGCAACAGTAAAATCTTCTTCTATAGTATCATCTTCAAAATATTTATCAGGTTCCAAAAGTTTGGACTGGTCTTTAGAACCTTTAGTAGTGTTATCGACTTGCATATTATTATTGTTATTGTTATTTGAGGTCAGAATAATGGGCGAAATTTTATTAATGGTGGTGATTTTAGAAACATCGAAAAATTCAAACTCAGTTTCTTTATTTTGTGGTAAACCAACAACTTCCTTGACAATTTCTATATCAAAGTTAATAGGAATTGAAGGAACTGGTAGAGGACTAGTAGTTTCCTTAAAAGCTTTAGGAGCGATATATGAAACGAACTTGGGATGATTTTTTTGTTTTGAGACGTTTTTACGAGTCATAACTTTCTTGTGTAAAGAAGAAGATGGGGTAAATCACAAGAAACCTTATTTTTTGTTAAAAAATGAACTTTTTATTTTTCTTTGAAAAATTTTTGGTTTTTGGAAAAAAAGTTTGAAGATCAGGTTTTAAACTAGTGACACGTGATTTATTTTTATTAATAGTAATAGTATAAATTGATTTAGATCTAAAAACTAACCCTTCTTATAAACGATTAAATAATGATTTTATCTGGAATTAAAAGGGCTTCTGTTGTTTCGTGTCTCTTACATAGTAGAACAGTTACTTCCCGTTACAGTAATGCATACTCCATTGTTTTTACAAAACATACGAGAGCATTTAATGTTTCTGCCTCAAGATTTCAACAAAATACACAAGAAAAGGAACGGCCGTTTGCAGGTAAATTATATTTTTCAGACCTTTTATATATATATAAATATATATTGAAATATTTTTATTTTATCATAGAACGATTAAATGAAACTTGGAAGAAAACTAAAGTAACCTGGTATCCTATACCGATCGGATTAGGAATAGCTTTCATTGCATTTCAACACCTGCTTCGCGTATATACTCGTGAAAAAAGAAAAGAGCAAGATACATCAAATGAAATTGAAAGTCGACCTGTAGTTATAGGTCCTTGGCAGGTAATCTAATAGTATATTAATATATATATATATATTCCTTTTAAAACGTTTTTTAATTAGGGTCGTTATCTATATTTATTTAGGTGTATTTAATTGATTCGCTTCCTCTTCGTGCATTCTCTAGACTATGGGGTCGAATTAATAACGAAAATGATTTACCTGTTTTTCTGAGAGAACCTTGTTATAAGTTTTATAGTTGGTTATTTAAATGTAATTTGGAAGAAATAGAAAATACCGATTTAAAAAGTTATCCAAATTTAGGTTCTTTTTTCTATAGGTCATTAAAGGCGGATGTGAGACCAATAGAAGATGCAGCACTTGTGGGGTCTGGATATAACTTTAGTTTGATATTAATTTGAATGCTTTTAATAATTTTGTTAATGAATTTTTTTATAATGGAAACATTTTAAAGGTATCACCAGCGGATGGCAAAGTTATAAGTTTTGGATTAGTTAAAGAAGGAAAAGTTGAGCAAGTAAAGGGTGTAACTTATTCACTGGATGCACTTATAGGAAGAAAAGATGAAAAACGTGTAATGGGTTCAGAAAACCAACATGCTGAAATAGCTTCATCGAATCACATTGCTGACGAAAAAGAATTTGCAAACCTCAATGGGATCACGTATTCCCTGGATACCTTACTTGGTGATAATACAGATATTGCTCATAAACAGGAGAGCAGTGTTGGTGAAGATGCTTCAGTTCAATCGGAAGAGAATGATTCAAAAAAGGAATTAATGGTGGCAAAAAAAGTGATAAGTTATTCATTTGGCCACCCTTCTGGACATAAATTGAGAGAGGGGAATACACTTCATTATTGTGTAATATATCTTGCTCCCGGGGATTACCATAGGTTTCATTCACCAACCAGTTGGGTTGTTGAAATCAGACGACATTTTGCAGGTATGCTGTAAATCATAATCTTTATATAAACAATATCATACTAAAAGCTAAAATGGTTGGTTATTTTTTAGGTGAATTATTTTCTGTATCACCATACATGGTAAATATGCTGCCAGATTTATTTGTTTTAAATGAACGTGTGGCATTACTTGGAAGATGGAGATGTGGATTTTTTTCAATGATTCCTATTGGAGCAACAAATGTTGGTTCTATCCGAATAAACTTTGATAAGGTAATTTAATGAATTAGATTAATTGTTTCAAATAGAGATAAAAATAAGAGAAATAAGTGATTTGTAACGGCTTATAATTATTTTAGGCTCTCCGTACTAATCGAAGAGAAGATTTACCGGCTGGAAAATATACGGAGGTTTCTTATAAAAAGGCCAGCAAATTGCTTGGCGGACAACCATTGAGAGCTGGTGACGAAATGGGAGGATTTTGTATGGGTTCGACTATAGCTTTGGTATTTGAAGCGCCATTCGATTTCAAATTTTGCGTGGAAACAGGACAAAAGATCAAATATGGACAAAAGTTAGGAGAAGTTTAAAGACATTATAGTTGTCTTTATATATTATTGGTGCAACACATGATTTGGGACGATTCAATTGTTTAATTATTGGATCAAATATCATTTTAACATTTGTATTTTCCTGTAAATTGATATAATAATTAATCACCTTTTATCGAAGTTAAAGTGCAAATTAAGGATAATTAGGTATGATATAATTTCATTAAAAGAAATATCCAAATATTAATAATAAAAAAATTCGTCTATTAAGGATTCGCATTGAGAAAGTTTTCTCATTTGAATCCAGATGATAATTTATAACAAGTGATTTATGTTTACATAACTGTTCTGTGTAGAAAACAAAATTATGATATAATATCTAACATTTAATAAAGATTCTCAATTGCAAAATTGATAGAAGTGTTATTCCTTATTAAAAAAAGTTCGGACATGTTCCTTTGATACAATAGTATATTATTAATGAGATGGCGTTATACGCTCTGCATATTTTAGGGTCCATTCGCGAGCTATATAATACAATCGGATTAAAAAAAAAATAAATAAATAAAAAATAATTTATTTAAAATATATAACTACCTTTCGCAATTGCTTCTGGTTCGTTATCTTTCCAATGTTGCGCTACATCATTTGCTAAAGGATCATCAGGATTCGGGGCTGAAAGAAGTGCTTGTATGGAAAGAAGTACAGTACGAATTTGTAACGCAGGTGACCATTTATCTGATAAAATTGTAGAAAAGTCTTATAAAACCAAAAAAAATATATATATTTATATATTTATTTTCTTTTAAATTAATTCACAAACCTTTTAAAATGTCCAAACAGATTCTGCCTAGCTTATCAATGTTTGGATGATATATTCTAGTTAAAAAACGAACTTTTGGTGGTGCCATGGGATATTCCTCAGGAAGGAACAATTCAAGTTTAAAAATACCACCTAAAAAAAAATTAAACAAAAAGTTAGAATAAACAATTTATATTTATATAGTTTTAAAAAAAAAAAACAAAGCAAACCTTCAAAAGGAGACTGTTCGGGTCCTGTAATATCAACGTCAAAATAACGAAGATTCTCTTCATGAGGTCTGGCGTTAATACCAGGTGCTGCATCTGCAATCAATCGCTCGGTTTCCTAAAGTACAATTTACCGGATCATAAATAACATTATTTAAAGAAATATAATGAGGGAAAAAAAAAAAGTACCTTAATAATTCTTTTTGGTAGAATAGACATTTTTAAAAAAGTATTTGTAAAATGGTAAAAGGCATTTGTTTTTAAGTTTTTAATTTAGTCCCATGATGCACGTGAGATTGATAGACGATCTGATTGACTATTTCATTTAGTTTAGTAAAAATATGTATAAAAAGATTAGCTCAATCCGGAAAAATAATTTTTATGATATTATTTTTTTACTAATATGCTTTTGTTTTTTTAAATAAAACTTGCCACATTTTTCATGTTGCAGTCAAGTTAATGTTCTTTACTGTGTTTGTGCGTTATAGAACCACAACACGCACGAGCTTGCTTCATCTAAAAAAACTTAAGCAAAGCTTGATCTTTTTATGAAAAGAAAACAACAAATTTTTTAGTGTTAAATCACTCTAATAATTTTAAAAACCTTTATATACCTTAGAAGCGTGGTTTTTTTTTTATTATTTCTTTTAAATCTTTCCTTAATACCATAAAACTCAAAAAAAGGATTTTTTTTTTTTTAAAAAAAAAAACTCAAGAACGCAATTCTCATAACAGATATGACTAAAAAATCTAAATCTTCCGTATCATTTTGTACCAAATATACCATTGAGACAATGCGGTTAGCAGGACAAACTCCTACGTTGACCGAATTGAACCAAGCAATTGTTAGTGAAGCAAAATATCACCATGATTGGTACGCCGCAGCTTCATTATTTGAAGATTTTGACAAAATTGTATGGGAAAGGTTATCTCGTCTGTCACATAACAAACAAAATAATAGTGATAAGGAAAAGGTTCAAAGTGATGATATTTGTTATGATTTATTACCAATATTATCATTAAATCAAATTTGGGAAGATACACCAACTGCATTGCAACCTTTAACTCCAAAAGAATTAAAACTTATTAGATGTGTATATCAAATCATGATACGATATGCTCCGTCAGTCAAAGAGGCAAACTATTATTATCTTCATTTGCTTCATAATCATCTTGATACTCCAATTTATGATGATGAATGTATCAATCATTGTTTGAATTCTTTGATTTATCTGATTTCTACTAGTAATATCAAGGATTATTTGGAAATTGGATTAGAACTTGTAGAAATAGCATTGTCACGTGGAATAGGAAAAGATCCATCAGGCATTTTGGAAAGTGTATCAAAGAATATCCTGGCATATCATGGATTAAAAATGCGTAGAGACGGGTTTGTAACAAAGGTTTTACCTGTTAAACCCGTTAAGGATCGTTCTAAAGATAAGAATAAAAAAAAGAGGGAAAAGCGTAAAATTAAAAAGCTTGGCGATTCTATTAAAAACGTTAATAACTTAAAACCTAATAATGGTTCTTCACCAAAGAGAAATGATTATTCTTTGGATTTGGAGGATGGAGCAACTTTTCATTTGGAAGATACATCTTTTGTTATTTTCGATGATAATGATGAGGAGGTGAAGAGTAACATTAACCTTGATAGTGATGAACAGATCGCCATTTTTAATGAATTTATGTATTTTGAACAACTCGAGCAACGTCTTGAAGAAAAAAATGAATCGGATGTAAATTTGGAAACGACTATTATAAATGAAAACAATTATTAATAAGAATTTGGATGTGCTAATCTTTGTATAATTGATTAATTTATTTGATAGCTTTTCCTAATTGAACATTTCTTTTTTTTACAATAGTTTAGAATGAATGTACAATTCCTATTGGAATATATTTTTTTTTCATTTCAAAACGTTACAAAACGCCAAATAGTAAGTTAACCCAAACTATTTATACATACAATCGGATGTATTTTCAATAAATAAAATAGCAATTATCCGGGTACAAAAAGCTTGATGTTTTAATGCATTATTATATAAAGTATAACATATACAATGATTGTTTAATTAGTAAATAAATTGGTCCATATTTTTGAAAGTTACCTTATAAGTATAAAGAATAAAATCATATCGTTGAATAAACAAATTATTTTATCAACACAAAAAATAAAATAATAATAAATAAAAAGAAAATAAATTATAATACCTATTTTATATATCAATATTATTATTTATATAAACTATATAATTTTTTTACTAATAATATGTTTAATTAAAATACTTTTTTTAATGATATTATTATATATGATTGTTGCTAAAAAAATCAAGTTTTGAGCCTCTTTAACCAAAAATGAGATTTTTAATTCATTTTAATATATTATAAAAGATCTTCAATTGGTCAAAAAATTAAAATTAAATCATATTTTAATAATAAATAATAAGTTATTGAGCCTTGAAATTTTGTTTAAGTAAATCTAAAAATAAAATTTTCAATTATTGAGTAAACTTATATTAAGTATAAATATCAGATTTTCTGAAAATCAAACAAATTAATTTTATTTATAAAATTTCTATTTTTGAAACTCAATAAACAGTTTTATTAAAATATGTTTAAAGTTTAAATTATTTAATTGAACTTGAAATTTAAATAAGAATTCAAGTGAATTATTTTTATTAACAGAATTATACATAGATACTGCTAATGCTAACTTGTTAGAAATAGTCTCATTAACTATAAACATGCTGTTGATTATTTAACACTCACAAGCATAATTATGTCTTTAACAGATTTGCTAGATTTGCTGGATGGGATCCTAAATATTATATCAAAATCCTACTAACTTTAGAATCCTAATATCTCTTATTTTCTACTTCCTTTAACTCAAAAAAGACACCTATTTTTTTTTAAAATTATATGGGTATATTATCTCAAACTTTTAATATACAATTTGAAAAATATTGTTTTAATTTATAAAAAAAATAAAAATACTAGTACTTATCTTTATACAGGGAACTCTTGATATAACGAATTCTAGGATCTGGATATCAACTTCATTAGAAGCTTATAATGAATTTTTTAAAGAATTTAATTGGCTAGTTTACTATAATAAGGTAATTTTAATATATTTGATTTAA